CTTGCTCCCCGCCGGGCCCCGCGCGCCATCGCGGCCGGGCTCCACCACCAGCGGCCGGTCCAGGTGCGTCTTCATGTCGGGCCGCAGGTGGCGCGTGGTGGCGTAGCGCAGCCGCTCCTCGGGGTCCAGCTCGCTGTACAGCGCCTCGCAGCTGGCCCGCAGGTTCTGCAGCCGCAGCTGGCTCGCCCGCTGCTCCCACACGGAGCGCGCCTTGGCTGAGTTCTGCTGCCTGCTGTGGGGAGATGGGAGGTGAGCACCTCTCGCGCCCCCCACTTCTCTGCCTGGCAGGGGAAGCCACAGATGACACACAGCGATGGAGGGATGGCAGAGTGGGCGCAGGGAGCGGGAGAGGGCAGAGGCGCGGGAGCCCTCAAGACCCTGGGCAGTTAGTGCAGTAGGACAGGTGGGGGCACCCAGGGTAAGAGAATTCACCCAGTGGTGGCAACCTGGCAGGCCCTAGACACACCAGCCTGGGGGAGGGGGACCTCAAGGCCACTCCTGAGCAGGCAGACATTCGCCTGAGACCAAGAGGTGCAGGGAGTGGGCATGATGGGCACCAGCGTGAGGTGGCAGACAGGCTTCCAGGATAGGTGGGCACTGGACAGGAGGGACAGAATGGGGTAGGCCAGCACCCAGGTGGGCAGGGCTGGAGGACGGGGGGGAGGCTCTGCAGAGAGCAGACCTGCCAGGGTGGGAACTTTCCTCCTCCACCTCGAGAAGGAGGCAGTGAGTGAGGGAACCCAGCACAGTGGGCAGCCCAGGGGGCGAGGGCCTGGGGCACGGGTCGCCTTCAGGAGCAGACAGGGAGCCAGCACTGTCCTGCGGTGGTCAGCTCCATCAGCTCAATGACCGTTTGCTCCCAGGAGATACTGCCTGCTGTAGTCACCAATGCCCTGCTCTCTCCTGGCTCCACAGAGAGGACCTTCCTCCCTAGGGAAAGACCGGAGTGGTTCCTGGGCCCTCAGCGCCAGGAGTGGCCTGTGCTCCAGGCTCAGCTCCCACTGGACAGGTTACCAAAGGCCTGACCCCTCCCCTTCAGTCACTGGTGGGGCTCACAGACCAGGGTCCACAGGAAGCCCTTCGCATGCTGGTTCTTTGCTGAGTAAAATTCCATGGTAGGAGACCCCAGCCCACCTTGGCCAAGCAGACCTCTTAAGTCAGTCTTACCCCTCCTCCCCTGAGGGCCCTGGGCCACCGTGGTGGTGGCATCAGCAGCATGAAAACGATGTCATCGCCTGTGTCATTCAGCAGCCCACATTGCTCTGGGCTCCGGTGCCCACCTCATCCAGCCCTCACAACTACCTTGGGTCAGGTGTTGCCCCCATTTCACAGGCGAGGACACAGCCTAGAGGACACGACCCACAAGGATCCCACAACAAGTTGCTGACGGCGCCAGGGTCGGACGCATGCAAGGGTCAAGAGAATAAAAGGTCTAAGGAGAATGGAGGCCTCAGCCCCACCCCAACCCCACTGACAGCACACCTAGAGCCACAGCCTGAGGGGTCCCAGGCCAGCCTGGGGCTCTGGGCCACTGGCACCGCGGTGACCTGCAAAGAGAGGTGGCAGCTGCCCTGGGCAGAGTGGTGGATGGTGAGCCCTGCCCCTCAAAGGTGAAGTGTGGGCGCCTGAAGTGTGGGGAACATTTCCAGGGCAGAGCGCACAATGTCTGTCCCTTACCTGGGCCCGGCGGGGAGGCAGGGTGACAGGTAGGGGACAAGTTTCGGCCTCTCTGGACATCTGCTGACTCACCTTCACCTGTCACCCAAGGCCCAACCTGCCTCCACTGACACGTGGGAGCCACGCTGCCCTGCACGTTGGTCACCTTGCAACAAGCCCGTCTTTTCTTTCTTTGACTTCAACACAGAGCCGCAATGGACCTGTCCACCCCCCACTGGCACCAAAACACAGGGCCGGATTCTGAACAATGCTGACCCATGTAAGACGGATAGCAGCCATGTGGAGCATGCCCTGGGCATAGGAGCCATGAGGGTGCCGATCACTGCTTCAGCCCCTCCGTCAGTCCGAGCACCCTGAGATGGGCCTGGAGTATGAGCCTCTTGGTCGGCAGGGTGGTGACCCACTCAGACGCAGCCCCAATCCTGAGGCCCGGTTCTCTGCCAGACAGGCAGGTGATGAGACGAGGGACTGTGGCCCCTGACGGACTAGCTGTGCCCTTACCTCTGCTGCCTGTCCCCCCAGGAACCAGCCCAAGGTCCCAGAGAGAGCTGGGCTGACTGTGGGCTGGACTGGAGAGTGCCATGGCTGTCGAGCTCCCCTCACAGCTGCCTGGGGAGCAAGGTCCACTGCTCCACCTGGCCCTGCTCCTGCTGGTCTCTCTGCCTCTCTAGGCCCCAAGCCACCCACACTGTCTGCCGCGCCCACCCCGCAGCCACGCAGTTGGCCTCCTCTCCAGATGCATCTGAGTCTGTGCCCGGACTCTCCTCCCTCTGGCGTCTGAGTCAGCAGCCACGCCAATGCTGGTGCCTCTCTGCACCCTCTGAGTTCACAGGCAGCGCAGGGTCGGGCTGTCCTCTGACCTATAGGCCAGGGTAGCTGGAACTCCAACCTAGGCAAGGTCCTGACTTGAAAGGTCTCTTTAAGGAGCCTCATGGAGAAGCTGCCCCCTAATGCCCTGACTGGCTACACTGCAGGCCAACCCGGCCCAGATGCTATGAATGCCTCTGTGCAGGAACCCCAGTTTTCAGTTTCTGGGCTGAGAGAGCCAGTCCCCATAGCAGTGGACAGCACGCAGCAGCCCTGGTGAGCAGCATGCACACCTGTGGCACCATCTCCCCTTAAGAGCCAGTCATTTCAGACCCAGCTTTCTCACCCGAGACACCAGGGCCATGACAGCCAGCAGCTTGAGCGCTTGTGGAGCACAGAGCCTAGCTCAGTGCCGGCCGCACAGAGAGCAGATGCTCAGGATAGGCAGGAGCTCCCACCCCCACCAGGACACAGAGGGGACACCTGGCTATCTTGGTCCAGGTGGCTTGACTGTACTGGTCACTCCAGAAACCCCTCACCTGCAAGGCCTGACAGCCTAAGGAGGAAGCCCAGAGTGCCCCCAGGAGGCCACCTGGGGGTTCTATGGCTCTCCCTCAGCTCCGGCTGGTCCCATGTATACCTCACAACTGGTGCAATTCTGCTCTCTCTGGAACAAAGACCTCATAGGATCAAAAGTACATCCCCCCAAGGCAGGACGACCCCATGAATGTCTCAGTGAGCACTGACAAGCATTCTACCTCGTGGGGACCACAAGGAGACCTGAGACCCCAGAGTGACGGCACATGGACAGACAGCACACAGGAGGATACACACTAGGAGGGAGCAGAGGAGGGACTGAGCTCAGAGTCTGATGCCCATGAGCAGGATGTGGGGCATCAGGAAGCATGCCCGCTGTCCCGCCAGGCTGAAGGAGGCTTGTGGAGCTGCCCTGAAGTGAATGCTGAGGTGGAAAGCAGAGTTAGGGGTGGGGAAGGCGTTTGCATGTGGTTATTATGAAGCCGGGGCGGGTATTGTAGCAGAGCAACTCACGGTGAGTTTACGCTGGAGACAGACGAGCTGCGAGATACAGTACCTCGAGTTTGCTTTACAAAACTGCACATGCAAGAAACAAAACAGAACAAAAGTGAGGAGACCAGAGAGCGCTAAGAACGAGCACACGTGAGCCGTGTCAGGTCAGCGTGCAGGCTGCGGTGTGCATCTGGGCAGGAGGCCAGGGACACTTCCGTCAGAGCGGTCACCGGCTGGGACCTCGGGGTAAAAGAGAGGTTGAGAAAGAAAGAGCACCCAGCAGATAAGTGAGGCTAACCCGAACACAGCAAACCCCGTGGCGGCCAAAGATAAGAAACATGATCCTGGGGGCCGCCTGCCACAGCCTGGCACACCTGCCCCGGAAGGACAGACCTGGTGCCAACTGCCCCTCGATTCCCAGCAGCCCCCCCCAGATGTGGTGCCGTTCGCACGGCTGCCTTTCAGATGGAGCAGAGCGACTAGGACAGGCCCTGCTGCTTCACCACCCACTCTGCCTCACCCACCACGGCCCTCAGCCCCAGCTCTAAGCCAGCATGACCCTTCCCAGGGGCAAACAGGCTACATTCCCAACCCCCCTTCCCTTGCATGTGACTCCAACCATTTCCAAGTGACTTTTGAAAAGCTTTTCCAAAACCAACAGAGGAACCAAACATCTTACAACCACTTCCCTTCAAAGCAGCTTCCCCAGGGAAGACCTGGTGGGTGCCCAGCTCCTCCTTCTGAAGGCTAAGTCCACAGACATGTGAGGAGCTTAAAGCAACTCACCTGTTGACAGGCCCTGGATGCAAACAGGTGTGTGCAAGAGAATGTGTAAATCAGTGTGGCTGCAGTGTAAGTTTGTGACTGAGTACGTGAGTGGGTGTGAGAGTGAGGGTGTAAGTGTGTGGTGTGTGAGTGTGGGGTAAACATTAACATGTGAGTAAACGTGTCCCAGGCATGTGGGCAGCAGGGTTCAGAAGGCGGGTGACAATGAGGGATAGGGTGATGCACAGAGAGCCAGGGAGGTCCCATCAACCGCAGCGTCTCTTCCCTCCCAAGAGCCTGAAGTGACCATCACCTGAAGCCAAAGACACTCACAGCCTCAGCTGACCTCTGAGGGACACAGGGGTCCCTTTGAGGGTTCCAGCATACAGCCTCTGTCCCCTGGGGTGTCGTCTGTGTCAAGTTGCATGGAGTGCTGAGGGGAGCCTCTCAAACACCAAGGACACTAACAGTCCCTCAGCATCCAAGTGTCCAGAAAGCATCTCATGGCACGGCTACGGGGGGGGAAGGTCACTCGGGTACCCACTCTCACGCACTGGGCAGCTGGCCATAGACATGACCCTGGGGAGAGCAGGCACTGCCCATCCAACTGACCCACCTCTCCTGAAGAAGAGGAAACGTGGGGGAGGGGCAGGCGACAGTCAGACACCAGGAGCTCTGAGCAAACTACCACAGGACCCTCACACCCAAGGCCCTCACATGCCAGGAGGGTCTCACCCAGTGGGGTGTCTGGTGATTGCATCAGACCAACTGCACATTCAACAGCAGGGCTGACTACCTGCCACACAGGACCGAAGCCTAGGTCTGCTCCCTGGGACAGCCTGCAGCACCCACACAGGGAACACAGGGATGACACCTGCACATGCCCCAGGCTGGCTGTGATGTGGGCGAACTACACTGACCTCAGGACCCCTGGGAGGCAGGAAAGGAACCTGTGGCAGTGATCCGGCTGACAGCAGGTGCTGTAGGTACCCCAGGCCCAGGTGCCCATCCACAGCCTTACTCCACATAGCGGTGTCCCCAGAAGGAAACAGAGAGGCAGAAGTGTCGGCACCTCCTTTTTGGTGGCCTGACATGCTCCCCATGACTGTGCTGAGGGCCTCAGCACCCTTCTCTCCAACATCTAGGCCCAGATGGGAGTGACCCTGCCCCACACCCCAAGGAGCAGATAGCCTGGCAGGTAGCAGGGCCACAGGACGATGCAGTCGCCTCCAGAACAGCAGAGGGTACACGCTACAGAGACCCCAGGCCCACATGTACAAGTGGGAGGTTCACGCTGCCCCTTCAACAGCAGACGTCATCTGCTTACAGACTCAGGAGAAGGGACCAGGAAGGGAGGCCTGCTGAGCCACCGAATGGGCCAGACAACAAAACAACCAAGCACTCAGGTGCCCTGCAGCCGTTAGTGAGGACTGTTGTGTCCCGCCTGGCTCCCTGCAGGCCCCCTGCCACCCTGCCTGGGCTCCAGGGCCTGTGACCTCCTTTAACTTCATCAAAAACCTGTGTGCTGCGCTTGGCTCAGAGACAGGTCCTCTGCAAACACACTCGCCCTGGTGGCCACCAAGCCAGAACAGGGCTGCTGTGACACCTGCTCACAAACATGCACCCCCCCACCCCCACCCCCACATGCACATGTGCACACAGCACATGCACACACACAACCAGATGCCCACGTGCCAGCACGCACGCTCAGGAGCACAGGGGTGCCTGCAGCTGTCCTGGCACTGTGACCACAGTGCTCACAGAAAGGAGGAGCCCGGCTACAGAGCTGGGCCCAGGGATCACCCGGGAAGTGGGAGGTGTGTGCTGGGCGGTCATGCAGAGGAGTTCCCAGCAGAGGAGAGTGCCGTAGGCCAGACTGTACCGCCTCCTTCTATGCTCCCTTCCCCTGGGCTGAGAGCCCCCAGACCACTGCGGCCTGGGCCCTGGGCTGCACAAGCTTCCTGCTCTGAAGTTCCAAACACCTCCAGATGTGCCCCTGCCACATGCCTGGAGGCACAGCTGATCCAAGATGACCTGGGTCTCCCCACGGAAGCCTCGGTCCTGCCTTTACCTTTTCTCATCACAGAGGCTTTCCCTTGACCTCTGGCCCAACACCAACAACTCAAAGACAATTTTGGAAACGTGTTAAGTCTCTGGGCCACTGAAGTACCACTGAGAATCTCCGGGTTCACCAAATACATTTCTGAAAAGCCCTGTACAACACAAGACAAATTAACTCATTACCCCTAACTCATAGGCTCTGCTCAGGGGAGGGCCCTGGAGCCACCCAAGACGAGAGGAGAAAACAGAGGAGCAAACGTCTCCTGCATAACCACCCCACCCACAGCGCGAGGTCCACGCTGCGCATCCTGTTCCTGCTCAGACTGGGGGAAGCTGCAGAGACCTTCCCCGGTGAACCCTTACTCCCAGGCTCTGCAGGAGAGGGGTGCCACTCCCTGCATGACAGCCCTAAGGGTGGGGGTGGCGTATCCCAACAGGCTCCAGCCAAGGGGCCTCTAAGAAAGTCTCCAGAAGGAGTGCCCTGCTAAGGGCCCAGCCTTGGACTCTAGGAGCCCCACTGCCACCCCTAACCCGCTCTCGAGAGCCTTACGCAGTGATGGAGACGTTCGCGGCTGACATGGGGCTGACTTCAGCCACTTCCTTGGCCTTCTGCAGAGCAAGCTTCTGATTGGCTGCTTCTTCCATCTCCTCTTCATCCTGTGAGCAGAGATGTGCGGCTGCCCTTTAGAACACTGCATCCACCTCTGTTCACCTCCTGGGACCCAATTCCTTCCTGTGTCTGAACCTGGGGCCAGGCAGCAGCTCCTACATTAGAACAACCCCCCTACTGCATGCTCAAGCACTGAGCTCCACTGCACACAGGTCTCCAGTGGCCATCAGGGATTCACGTTTGTGCCTGCTGCTCAAGGTGATGGTCCCCAACTTCCCTGCCTCGGCCCCGCCCCACGCGCCATCTCCTGGAATGTTCCCAAGCTGGCAACCCTACTCCTGTGCTCCAGCCCCAGGGACCCACAGCTGCCTAGGCAGGTGTGCCTGTTTGTGCCCAGCTCTTCAGACTTCCTGTCAAAATGCAAACCCCACCCTCGCCTCCATCCCACCTGCCTTGCCACAGAAGCACCTGCCACACTTGAACCAAGCCAGCCTCTGCCCCAGAGCTGTGAGGGCAGGGGCAGGAGTTCACACCTGAGCTCAGCACCGCCCACAGCAACTGCCACCAGGAATGCATCTGGCAAGGGCACTTCACAGCCTCTGAGCTTCCTTAACTGTCCGCCGGACCCGGCTGGGACTGAGAAGCCCATTTGTCGCTCCCACATCTGGATGGCCACACCTGCAGGGCCTGGCCTGTGTTCCCGTCTACACTGAGTCCCTGGGAGGACCCCTGACACTCTGCACCGGGGGCTGGCATGTGCTCATGTGCGCAGACACACTGCCCGGCTTTTGGCCTCCGTGAGAAGGGAGTGGGCATGTGGACAGACCTCTGGCCCCAACCCCAGGTCGCTGGGCTCTGCTCCAGGCCTGAGTTCTGTGGGCCAGCTAGCTTCTGATTTCCCCAATCCCAAGCCAAGCTTCCCTGGGAACCAACATTCCCAACAGGTCCCAAAACACCCTTGAATCTCCTCTTAGGGTCACACAATGGCAACAACTAAGTCCCCTGTTAGCTGCCTGCAGACGTCCCACCAGAGACGATGGCTGCAGAGACAATGGAAAGCTAGACTCCCATGGAACCCCGACTCCCATGGAACCCCATCCAGGCCTGTCCTCAGCTCTGGACTCCACTGTGGTCACGGCCCTCAGGGGGCAAGGACATCACTCTAAACAGTGCTCTATAAACAAGCTCAATCTCAAGAAACAACTATTTACGGGAACGTAAAAAAAGGAAGAGTTGAGTCTCACCCTTTGGAGCCTTGGCCACCCTGACACTGACAGGCCTCTACCCGCCCCAACACCCAGAGGAAGGGGGTTCCTGAACCAGGGCAGTGTGTGTCTGTGCAGGAGCTAAGGCCCCTGGAACACCCCGGACATCACTTCCTCGGTGTGCCCTCACCCACAGCAGTACCTGAACTCAGGCTTACCCCTGCCCCAGGACAGTGGTGGTGCCAACACTGCTGCTGGGTTCCCCCAGGCCATGTGGTCCTCAAATTGCTGACACCAAGAAGTGCTCTGTGGATACATGGGTCCTCAGCACAGGCAGCCCACCACGGGCCCAGGCCACTCCCCACCTGCTCCTGGAAAGCAGGCCCCAAGGGACAAGTCTAGACCCACAGGCAACACCAGGCCCTGGCCTATGGGGGGGAAGGGAGGCTGAGCAGAGGCAAAGGAAGGGGCTGCACGGGCCTGTCCACAGGGAGCTCCTCCCATGGAGCTGGGGGGACAGTAGAGCCACCTGTCTGCACTATCAGCACCATGCACACCTGCACCTCAGCTGTCTACAGAGACGTCCTGAGCCTGCCTTCCTCAGGGAGGCCCATGTCACTCTGCCCCAGAATGGGACAGTGTGCAGTGTTGGGATGTGTGGGACTAGGGTGGATGGACTGTCGGGCATGCACAGGGACATGCACAGGTGGGCACGTTGGGGCTAGCACGGGCTCAGACAGGACACAGAAAGGTGCCCAGCATCTGCGACAGAGGCAGCACCTTCTAGCTGCCCAACCAGGCGGCCAGAGCCTCCCGCATTGTGCTCGAGGCCCACTAAGCACAGGATGAGGCTGGCACAGCTGGCGGCCCGGCAGCATTGTCGGGGCTGTGAAGTGAAGGTTACCAGGCAGGGGGCTATGTCCACTGGAGGGAAACTGCAGGGGAGGCCTGCAGAATCCCATGCCCAGCAGGCTCAGACGAAGTGAACATCTAATATTAACAGGGCAAACGCTGTCCTGCTGCGGCAGACGTGCTGTGAGGTGGCACCAGCTGCTCCTCCAGGCCCAGTGTCTGAGGACAGCACTGCCACCTGACCACCAAGCCCACCATCCATACCTGACATTGACCACACAGGGGTTTCTCCACACTCGGGATGAACATGGGGGTCCCCTTATCACTCAGGGATGAGCGCAGATGTCCACGGGGATCCCCTCCACTGCCCAGGATAAGCACAGGGATCCCCTCACGGCCCAGGAGGAGCACAGGGGTCTCTTGACTCCCCAGGATGAGCACAAGGGTCCCCTCATGGCCCTTTAGAGTCTACAAAGCCCACTTCATGGTCCCTGTCCCCACATGGCCAGGCTGATCTTGTGATGTACCACGTGGCCCCTCTCCTGAGGCCAGTGCAGCAGGTCACCACTTCTCAGGGTCCTATCTGGGCTGCATCTCGCTCAGCCACCCGCTCCTGTCCCTCTGGCCATTGTTCCCAGGTCATGGCTTCTCTAAAAGCTGCCCTCATGGTCACCTGCCTTCCTGACGTGGTGGATGCTCCTGCTTCCTCAGTGCCATCCTTGCCCAAGTGACAGCCTAACTTCTGCCCATCCACACCTTGGGCAGTGGTCACACAGGTTCTTAACCCCTGACCTGGCCCTCCTATGGCTCTCTGGGCTCATCTAGAGTGACACAGACCAACGCCCCACCCCTTTCTGCACCTGGTCAGCAGGTGGCATCCCTCCCTACATACCTTGGTCAGCTCCTGGGCATTGGCAAGATTGTCCACAGCAATGGCCAGGAATACGTTCAGTAAGGTGTCTGGTCGGCTCCAGGTAAGGAAGAGAACCCTCTGTCCCCAAACGCTCCCATGTGGCCATCCACGCTTCCCTCATGGAAAACGGGGCCCCTTCTCCCTGCATCCTGACCCGCCTTCAGCTTTCTTCCCTGGGCATCCATGTTCCCCTCAAAACCCCTGGCTCCTATGTCCCTGTGGTCCTTTGTTGCAGCCCAGAATAGCCACTGGGGCTTCTGGCTTCCTGGCCTCGGCTCCACCTCATACCATGTTCCCCCTGATGCCCACACAGACCCCCTCCGCGACCCAGCCCTTCAGGGCTGGCTTTGCAGCTGAAGCTTGGGCTATTGATCAACTTGCCCTTGCCTCCCAGGAGGCCCACAAACTGCCTACTCCTGTTCCCCGGCTAGAGAGAAGCACCGGACAAACATGTCCTGCTTGTTGGGCAGCACTGGGTTCCCTCAGCTCTGGATCCTGTGGGCACAGAGACCAGGTAGGACAGACCGAAACTGCCCATGACCAGCATCTCTGGGCCCAGCCCCAGGCCAGGCTCCGGGACACTTGCCTGTGTTTTGTCTCCCCTCCTTGAGGCACCTGCCTTCATAAGTAGCAGGATGTCTGAGTGGAGCTGACAGCAGGTGCACAGGGCACCTGGGACCGGGCCCCCCCCGAACTTCATCCACCAAGCACCCAGAGCCTGTGACAGCGTGCCACTGCATGCCCCTCCCGAGACAAGGAGCAAAGTTGCACCAGTCAGGATCTTGTGTCCACGTAATCCAGTCCTTTCACCACAGGCGTAGGGACTCACGCCACCCCCGCCCCACCCCGGTGGCAAACATTCTCGAAGGGACTCTGGGGAAGTGTGACCTTGAGGAGCAGTTAGCTCTGTGACAATGACGACCCTCGTTGGGCAGACCCTGACCATGTCTCAGGGGCACCACCTCATGGACAGGATAGGGCATGAAGTCCGGATGCCACCTCCTGCACTAACCACTGCGAGGGGCACCCTAAGCGGCCTTCCTGTGCCCAGGACAGGACTAAGGCTGTGCCCTGCAGGCCCAGAGGTACAAGAGATGCATGGGAGGCTCCAATCGGACGGGACAGATGGCTTTACGTAAAACATACCAGCCAGCACGTGCAGATGCCGGGTCCCCGCTCTGCCCTGCCCAGACCTGTGCAAGGATACAGTTTCCAAACAGCGTCAGGACGATGAAGTAGAAGGACGACAGCATGCCCTTGCTGACGCCACCCTGCGACTCGATCCCGTGGTACATCACTGCGTTCCAGTCCTCTCCGGTCAGGATCTGTGGGAAGGGCCACAGGGCAGCTGAGGGCCACCTTCACACACACATCCCACACACGTGCACACACGTCATCCCCACACATGCCTGCTCCCAGAGCCCATGGGCACCCGTACCCCCCCATGCAACAGGCAGGACGTTAGGTGATGGTGCCTCTGAGGAAAAGGCCCAGGGCCCTCCAGGAAACCTTCTGGAGGGACGTGGCTGCCAGCTGGGTCAGGTCTTAAAAAGTAAATATGCTTTAGGTTTTCAGCCAAAAATGGAAAGGGAGCTCCAAGCAGAACAAGGTGCGAGGAGGCAAGGAGGGGGCCACAGCAGTGAGCTGAGAAACGAGGCCGGGATGGGCAGCCGCTGGGTCACTGCCTCACAGTTGAGGACACCAAGGCTCCGGGCCCCACTGCTCAGGCCAGGCAGGAGCTGCAGGGCCTCTGACCTCCCCTTCCTGCCACCTGGGCCGGCAGGTGGAGGCTGGGAGGGTAGCTGATGCAATCCTTGCTCCACGAGGAAATGGCTCTTTTCTCTTTTTGGAAAGGCACAGGAGGGTGAAATGAAAACAGTCCTGTGTGCAGCACTGAGAGGAAACCTGCCCACAGTCTGCCATGTTCCCATCGGGTCTGTGGCCTGTGCACCTGGCGAGGGCCCACGTCGGGGGTGGACACCTCACGGCAGCCTGTCAACAAGACACCCGTGTGCTCTTCCACTCCACTCACTAGGTTCACACAACATCACATCTTCCAAGCTCACCCGCATCGACAGACAAGTCCACTCACCACGAGAACCACTGCCCAGCACCCCTCCCTTCCCTTCCCTTCCGCCCTCCCGACAGGCCCTGAGGTGGCATCCAGGGTGTAGAGCTGGAACTGTTGGCTGGTCAGTCCTGTGTCTTTGACTTTCCCAGGAGCATCCGGAGCGGTGGCCCTGTTACACCCTCACACACCCTGGCCTCGCCACGCCTGTGACAGTTCCCACCTCACTGGCTGAGGGTGAGCCGCTGAGGGAACACGTCTCACGTGTCCCAGGCTACTCGGCTCTCTGCTGTGCCAGCCAACAAACTTGTTCTTGCTGATGTGTGAGACTTCCCTATGTATTCTGGGATATGCTAATCCTCTACCTGCAATACTTTTTGGAACTATCTTCTGGTCTTTCCTTTGCCTTTCACTTATTTTGTATTACAAAAGTGTTTAACACAGTCCAGCGTAGCCATCTTTTCTTTCAGGGTTTCTGCTTTTTGCACCTTAAGAAATTCCTCTCCCTCCCAAAGTGACCAACGTATTTTTCTGTTTTCTTCACATCGTTTTAAGGTTGGTTTTTCACACTGAGGTTTACAATATGACGGGGTCTGTGGTTACTGTCCTGCGAAGGCACCGGGGTGCAGACCTACTGCTCTCCCACGTGGAAAGCCTGATCCCCAACCCACCTTTTAACATTCCGCCCGCACCCCTTGAATTCTGCCTCTGCTCATACCACCAGCTTCCTGCATAGGTCTGGGCATTGAGTTCTGGGTTCTCTAGCGTGTCCTCTTGGTATCATCTCTTTACACCTCACAACCTTCGTTACCGTAGCTTCTGTAAAAGTCTTATCTACGGTGAGGCGAACCCCTCCTCCCCGAGTTCCTGGCCATTCTTAGTCGTTGACCCTTCCACATGATCCAGATGCTAAATCCCAAGAGCAGCCCTGCAGGAGCCTGGAATCAGGACCCCACTGAACTCATAGATTAAAGCTGGGCAGTTGGTGCCTCATCACCAAGGTTTCCCTTTCACGGATACAGCTCTTCATGAACTTGTTTCTTAGGTCCTTTCATAGCAACTTATTATTTCACCCATGGAAGTCGTGCATGCTTCCAGAAGATTTATTTTGGGTACCGTGTAGCTTTTGCTACTCCTGGGAGTGAAATCCTTCGTTTTAGCTGACTTTTCTAATCGATTGCTGCTGTTACATAAAAGCTGCATTTTTGTATGTTCACCTTGTACTCAGCAACACTGTGGGCTCTCGTATTTCTACTTGGTCATCTCCTATCCTGTTTGCGAATAACAGTTTTGTTTGTTCCTTTCCACTCTCTGCCCTTCTTTCTCTGGCTCCACTGCCTTCGCTGCTGAACGCCAGGCGCCCGTTTCTGCTTTGATTACGCCGTCCACCTGTGCTAGTCTGGGTACTCCAGAGAAACAGCCGGTGGAGACGTCCAGCAGGAACAGCTCGCAAGGCTACGGAGCTGGGAGGTCCCAAGTGCAGTCAGCAGGGAGAGGCATTAGTCCCAGTCTGAGCCTGAAGCGAGACAAGACGGACGTCCCAGCTGAAGAGTCGGGCGATTCTCCACTCTCACCAGGGCATCTGCTCTCCTCAGTCTACCGGTGCTCGTGTTGGCCACCCAGACACATAGACCCCTGGAAACAACGCTCAATCCGAGCACCCACAGGTGCAGGTGACACAAGCTCTCTGATGCTAGCTGTGGTCTTTTCAAAATAACCATTTTGTTGAGATATAATTCAATACCATCTAACTCAGTCCTTTAAAGTGTATATTCAATGGTTTTTAGTATACTCTCAGATGTGTGCAACCATCACCGATTTTAGAATATTTCCATTTCCCTCAGAAAGAGAAACCCATGGCGATTAGCGATCACCCACCTTGCTGTGGTTTATTTTTTAAATCCTATCCATTCTTAGTGAAAGATGTTTTTATCACAGCATCGATGTTTTACTGCTCATTGCCTAACCTGTAGAGACAGGCAATCACAGGACACACTCGCACGACTGCACAAACACAGCACAGCTGTGAGGCTCTGTTTTATACCCAGCTGAATTTGATCTTTAATGTTTTACTGCAGATTGCTGGCATCTCCCTTCACCAAGAAAACATGTCAGGCACCTCTGAGTGTCAGACAGTGTGTCTAGGTGCCCAGTACGGTAAGTGGACCAGACAGAGACCCGCTCCTACGGCTGCACCTGGTCACTGCGATGGTCCGTTGGGCAGAGCCTCTTGGTGTGGCATTGAAGGCGCACAGGGCAGGCTCAGCCCCTCCTGCCACACCCTGCACTCCTTCCTGTCTGGACCCACTCCTGCCCACTCCCCTCGCCTGACTGCCAGCACCCCCCTGGTCAGCTAGTCCTGCGACCCACAGACAGAGGGCGATCCTGCCTGTCACCGAGCAGATCACACTGCTCCGGAAAGCCCTTGGCCTCCCTCTGCCTTGGAGACCATTCATTTGTGTCCAGAGGCAGGATCCTCCTTCCCACTAAGTGCTAACAACCTCTGGGAGACCTGACTGTGGAAGCCATAGCCTGTGAGAGCCCAGGCTTCCAACGCAGCAATCAGAAGGTAAGAGAGGCCATGGGCTCGCAGGCATCCCACACTCAGGAAATCCATGGACAGGACAGACACAGAGTGACTCCAGGTGAGGTCAGACTGGAAGTGGGAGGAGGACAGTCCAGGTCCTCAGCTAGGAGCAGGGAGTCCTCTGGGAGCAGCTCGCTCTGCTTGCCCGACACTGAGGACTAAGAGGCTGCAGGGCTCCCACCAGGACGAGAGAAGAAGAGTTGTCACGGGAGGCATGTGGGTGCAGAGCACCAGGACCCAGTTACTCTTAGCAGTCACCCAATTTGGCTGGAACAGCCCCTCTCCAGGCACACGCTGTGAGCTCCAGCTTGGGCTGGGGTGAGGGCCAGCAGCCCCCCGAGGTCAGGGGCAAGCTGAGCCCTGGCCTGACCCATGTGGCCTGCAAGACTTCCCTAAGAGTCAGCATGGGCAAAACAAGACCCCCATGCTGCTTGGTCTCAGACATAGCATTCGGAGGCCTCATGGGACAAAAGTGGTTGGCAGGAGCATCTGTGGAGCCATAGCCCTGAGAGGGAAAGTGCTCAAGGAAAAGAGTTCACGGGGAGTCCCGTGAAGCCCACAGAGACAGGGCGGTGCACTCGCAGACAGGGGAGGGCTGACGGTAAGTCTGGGGCACTTTGTTGTTTCATCCTCTAAGACAACAGGCAGCTGTGACCCCAGATTCTTGGGCCTGAGAGAAAAGCTGGGGTTCCCTGCGGACAGCATCACAGGACATGGGGGACCTGTGGGCTTATCCCTACTTTTCTCTTCTGCCTGTGGTAACCTGTCTGGAATGGGGGCTGTCTGGGTTGTGCAGAGGTGCTGAGGAGTGGAGGGGAGGCTGCCTTCCCAGCACTGGAAGAGCTGAGCAGGAAAGACATGCCTGGATCCCGAACTCTTACCTGGAAGACAGTGAGGATGGCGGCAGGGAAGGTGTCAAAGTTGGTTGTTGGAGTCTCATCTTTAAAGTTGAACCTGAGAAAAACAAGAAGTCTTGGGAAAAGGCAAGCCCATTGGGAGCCAGAACCTGGCCCCTCGGCACCCAACACTAGTCACAGGCAGTACGTGGACAACCTTCAGGGAAAAGGGAGATGGAGGAGGCCTGGGGGAGAGCACCATTGCTCTGAGCCTGGTCTCCCCTCCCCTGCAGGGCCTTGTCCTGTCCCCCAAGCCGCTGCTCTGGGCCTGGCCACTCCTCCCCCGTGGGGCCACATACTGTCCCCCAAACAGCTGCATGCCCAGCAGGGCGAAGACCACAATGAACAGGAAGAGCAGGAACAGGAGGCTGATGATCGACTTCATGGAGTTGAGCAGTGACACCACCAGGTTCCGCAAAGAGTTCCAGTACCTGTCAGGGGTCGACGGTCCAGTCTGAGCTCAAGGCTGAGCCCAGCTGGGGATGCCAACTCTGGACACTGACTTCACATTTGCTGGGGCTCTCCGTGGTCACACCTGTGGCTTTGGGACCTTCTAAACTCCAAGGGCCACACACCTGGAGTGAGGTAGAGCTTTTCTCCACCATTCCAGATCCACCATCCTTGTCAGCAGGGCCCAGGGGGATGGCACGACCGATGTGTCCTGTGCTGACCTGCCCCTGACATCTGCTCAGCAGAATGACGCACGTCCCTCAGGCATCCACACCCGACCCAACACCCAACCATGGCAGTGCCTCATGCTGTGCAGGTAAGCCCATGCTGTGCAGGTAAGGACGCACGTTTGCCACCAGCCTGCACAGAAGGGCCTGCAGGAGGACACACGTCAACACCGCAGCCTTCCACGCAAAGATGCTGTGAGTCCCCCTCTCACTCCCTAGCATTCCCAGCACCCCTTCCACTCAGGGTCCCAGACCCCGAGTCCCTCTTATTCTCTTGGACCCTCAGCACACAGGCCTGGGCTGTTTTATCACTTTCCGTATTTATACAATTATAAGCCAGAGAAAGAGATTCCAGACAGCTAAGGCTGAAACTGGCACCATGAATTCCTGGAACAAGCATGCAGTGTATGCCACCCCCGTGCGGCCTGCACTTCTCCCCTCGCGCCCAAGAGCACGCAGGGATGTACTTCGTGACTTTGAAGATCCTCAGCAGCCGGAGTGCCCGCAGCACGCTGATCCCAAAGGAGGTTCCTGGCTTGATGGCAGCCCAGACCACTTCGAAGATGCTCCCCACAATGACCTGCAAGGGAGGTGTGTTCAGTCTCCAGGTGCACATGCATCCGGGATGTGCATGACTGTGCAGCGTCCCCTTGCGTGCAGTTGCCCTCTGCAGCCCTTACCCTGCCTGCCTTGTCTGCAGCTCAACCACACGCTTCACACAGAGCTGCAGGGCTACAGGCCCGGTGCCTGTCCTCTCTTCCATCCCACCCATGGATACCAGGAGGACATAGGAAGGAGGTGACCCCAGCGTCCTCTTAACACGGTGGGGCTGGGCCTGCTCTCACGGGCCAGCAGGGTCTGCTTCCTGGAGCTCCCTTCCTGGTGCAGCCACTGCTGACGTGTTCAGACTCAAAAGCTGCATCTGGAGTCTCATCAGCTCCCAGTGACCAGAAGCCACACGTGCCACCAGGAACTTACTGTGGCCAGCCTGCCCTTTGTTCCAACACTGCCTATGCTGGTGCACTGGGGCTTGTGGGCAAGGGCACGCCCTCCCTCCAGTTGTCCTCAGGGGGCTCTCCAGGAAGGGCCGTCCTGGGAGGGTCTGGTGTGAGGGAGTCAAGAATGGGCGCTGGCCTGGGCACAGCAGACCGCTCCCCAGCTCTCCCTGCACAGGACGCCCAGCCAGGCCGACTAAATGCCCTCCCCGCCACCTGCCAGCACACCTCATAGCATTCTGGACTCATGTCAGCAAGAGTGCCCCTCCTCATTTTCTCTAACCCAACCTCCACAGCTGGTGTGTACAACTCAAATGTCGAGCATCAGTCTCTGAGGTTCCATCTGACTGCTCTTGACTCATACGTTATCCAAGGTTTCAGTCATTTCCACCCATTCCACATCCACTTCTGATCTGACCAGCTCACGTCGGGCAGAGACCTTAGTACATCACTGAGACTTCCCAGTGGTTACCAAGGGCCCATGAACCTGCTCGTCAGGTCCACTGGTCACACCGGCTCCGAGTCACCCCAAATGGCTACATCATTCAGGGATGATGAGTGTGCTGCCGATAGCAGCTACACCAACAGCTCAATGCCTGCTGTGACCAGGACAGCATGCCGTGTGAGATGAGCTGGCCGCATCTGACCATCACCAGAAACTCTTCTCAGCACTCATACAGCCTCCGGATGGGGCCCAGGGTTGAAGACAGAGTTTTCCAAAACTACTTTCTTTTGGTCTTACAGAATCTCTCCTCTTTTCCATTAATTCTCAAAATGGGTGCCCACAAGTTCAGCATGTAGGTAGCCTCTAGGATAACCCAACGACCCCAACTGCTCGGTGTTTACCCCGTTGTATAATCCTGTCCCCTTGAGGATGGGCTGGACCTAGTGACTCAAGTCTAGCAAATGGAATGTTATGAAAGTGATGAGATGTCCCCTGTGGATTCCCTCTTGGGTCGCCAGCTGCGTGCGGCAAGGACTTGAAGACGGCCTATGGAGAGGCCCCGTGACCAGGACCTCAAGTGCCAGCAACCACATGAGTGAGCCTGGAAGCTGCAATGCGTGTGCACTTAGAAGTGAGCTGTGCAGCCCCAAAGGAGCCGGTGATGAGTGCCACCTCATGAGATATCGAGCCAGAGACACCCAGTTACGTCACACCCTGGTTACTGATCCACCAAAAGGAGACAATGTATGCTGTTCTAGATCACGAGGCTTTGGGGCAATTGTTGCACAGTGAGAAAGAACAATACAGATTCGGGAAACAGAAGACGAGGTGCTGCTGTCCTAAAAGCCTAAAACATGAGCAAGGCTCTGGAACCAGAGGAGGACACCGCGCAGCACATCATGAAAGCCCACGGTGCTCACAGCAGCCGAGTCAGAGAATCCCAGATACCAAGGTTGTCACACAGGGCTGCAGGGAAGCGAGGGGGGTCGCGGAGAATTGGAGGAAGGGGTCCTGTTGTGCACGGGCAGAAAAGTTAGCCACCCTGGTTACGTGAAAAGTAGAAAACGGCTTAATGAGCTGAGACTTTCAGGCAGAGGGCTGCCGCTGCCACCTGGTGTCTTCTCACTGCTCAGAGTCAAATGTGAGAGGAAAGAGAAGGGACGTGCTGTTTAGTAAAAAAAGGCTAGGACTTGCTAGTTGGGGAATGAATGCTCAGCTTCTCCAGATGGCAAAGATGCCAAACTTAAGAAATGGGTTTGGTCCCCAGACAGGGCACACAGAAGAATCAACCAATGACTGCATAAATAAGTGGAACAACAAATCAATCTCTCTCTCTACCTCTAAAATCAATAAATTTTTAGAAACTTTTTAAAAAGAAGAAATGGCATGGTCTGCCCAGAAATAACCCCACACCTATATGATCAATTATTATTTGACAAACGAGGCAAGAACATACAATGTAGTAAAGACAGTCTCTTGAACAAATAGTGTTGGGAAAACTGGACAGATACATGTCAAAAAATGAAACTAGATGACCTTCTTACACTATGTACAAGAATAAACTGAAAGTGGATTAAAAACCTAAATGTGAGACTCTGAACCATAAAACTCCTGGAAGAAAACAGGCAGTGAACTCTCTGACGCTAACCTTAGAAGTATTTGTTCTGACCTCTCTCCTTGGGCAAGGGAAACAAAAGGAAAAATGAACAAATGGGACCACATCAGACTAAAGAGTTATGCACAAAAAGGAACTATCAACAAAACAAGAGACGCCTACTGAATGGGAGGAGATACTCGAAAAAGACACATCTTACATAAAGGGTTAATTTCCAAAATATATAAAGAACTCGTACAACTCAACACCAAGAAAATAAACAATCTAATTTTTAAAATGGGCAGAGATCCTGAATACACTTCTCCAAAGAGGACACACATATGCCAACAGACAAAGTGCTCAGTGCCACGAATGATCAGAGAGATGCAAGTTAAATCCACAGTGAGGTTCGCCTCACACCTGTGAGAATGGCAGCCATCAATGAGTCAACAAACGAGCGCTGGCGAGAGGAGAAAGGGACACTTGTGTACTGTGGTGTGGACACACTCTGGTGCAGCCACCCTGGAAAACTGTACAGGTTCCCTCTGCCTCCCTGAATAGCAGCCTTTCTTTGCAGCTAAGAAGCGTCTCCCCGAATCGCAGGCACCCAGGTCCCAGAGTATAGCCTGGGCAGCCACGTCTCTCCTTCCCCAGAGATCGGGCAGCACCTTCCCTGGGGCCAGGAAACCTGGGCTCCAGCACTGCCCCTGCAGGCTAGCTGGGCACCTTGAGCAGTGACATGTTGGCTCCAGTGCCTCATCTACACTGTGAGGGTGCTGAAGCCTTGGGAGGGTCGGCTCACTGCAATGCTGGTGACAGAAGTTCAAGTTAGCCTCACTCCCGCCAAGGTCCCAGCCCCTCCCTGGCTACTGAGAACTCTGCAGGTAGGTACATCCTTCCTTGGGGTTTGGCACTTCCACTTCTCAGTGCCTCCAGTGGTCAGAATGTAGCCTCTGGGCAGATGCCAGTAGGTCTTGGATCTGGGCTGGTTCATGTAAGCCTTGGGCACCTGCCTTTCTCCTGCCTTTCTCTGGGGCTTCCCTGACCTACAGAGGGTGGTGAAGGGGCTCAGGGTGCTGCTGCCCAAGCCCACAGAGGGAGGGCCAACTGGGTGGTGCACGCATCTACCCAGGGTCAGGTCTGCAGGCTAAGGTGGGGCAGGACCACAGCCCCCTCGAGCTCTGCTGGGAGAGACTGAGCTGTCCACAGGACAGCAACATGTTTAAAAGATCACAGTGCCACTGATGGTGAGATTCTACAAACAGGGTCAGGGAGGGAAGGAGGAAGTCCCACAGGTAGAAGCAGCCTGGCACCTGCCCCTACCCGTCCATGGGAGGCCTTGCTGACCCACACAAGGTAACAGTTTCCCGGTCCCCTGGGTCACGCTGGGTGGGAGGGACCATGTGCATACTCAAGCAAGGATCCAGCTCAACCCACCTGGACCCCAGCACTGACCCTGCTGAGGCATCTCACTTACCCCAAAGTCAAAGCAGTTGAAGGAGGACCGGAAGTAACTCCTGGGCCCCAAGCCATACATCTTCAGGGACATCTCTGTGAGGAAGAGACCCAGGAAAACAAACTCTGCAAAGTCTAGGAGAAGCCGGAGAAGAGGGGTTAGCTCGAGGCCTCCTCCTACTGGCTCCAGCCCCGCCCAGAGGACACCAGGCCCGGGCCTATCCAGGGGTGAGCCTTCTAGCCGGGTCTGTGGCCCCTGAGCTCTGAAATCTCAGGCCAGTAGAGAATAACCAAGGGACTGGGGGGGACACAGAGAGATGCTCATTCCAGTCTGCAAGGTGGTGTGTGCCCGGTGCCGTGGAATGTGGGACAGGCTCAGCGGTGAGCTCCCAGGATGGAGCTCAGCACCCAGAGCAGGGCAGATGGCTGGGAGGCCTGGACCCATCCTACTTCCAGTCTCTGCCCCACCCCACACTCTGATGGCAGGTGGAGTCCCCGAGCCACCTCTTCAGAGACCCCATCTCTCCACGGTACGTCCCGGAGGGCCTCCGCAGGGCCCCACAGCACCAGGCTGGATTTAACTTTGTTCACCGTTCGCCCATCCTGAGCATCCCCAGTCCACGCCTCTGACATTCTACAGGAGGCTGCTTGGCGTGCAGCTGAGCCGGGAAACAGGAAAGCGAAAGCACTGCCCACAGCACACACATCACTAGTGGAGTCTTCGTCCTGTGAGCTCTTTAAGCTTTCGGCTCCACATGGCCTGTAGGGCCCTGGGGTGTCAGCCCTGGTCCCTAGGGAGGGGAAAGGAGCTCCCCCCTACCCCGACTGCTATCTTCCTCTTTGCCTCCTTGGAATTGCCAAGTCATGACTCAGATCCCCGAGGCCCTCCTTGCGGCTCATGGACACAGGATTGCAAGTCAGCCCTGGTTATGGACACACCCAGATCCAGCCAATCAGAATGAAAGTGGAAACAGCCAGAAGAACCCTAGGAGCCCGGGCTCTCCCTCCTCCGGGACGCAGCAGGAGCAGCCACCTCGTGGCAAAATGAAAGGAGCAGCTACATACCCTGGTCTGTGTGTCTGAAGCCCTTACAGGGAAGATCCAGGTCTGTCTGGACTGGCTTATGCCTGGTTATCCCACTCACTTCCTCCCCAGGGTGCCCAGACCCTCCCTTGTTTCATACTCCCTGATGGATAAGGGTCTAGCCAATCAGTCTGGCTTCCTGGAACCCGGGCCCAGGTCTAGGGCCTGGGCAGCCCTGGGATGGAGCCTAAATGGCCTGTGGGGGCAACTTGGGTCAACACAGGGATCAGACCCACAGCACCCCAAGGCCACAGGCTATGGCTCCCAAATTCCAGGCTGCAGACCAGAGGTGGTGGGCAGGAGGTAGGGGAGCTGGGCTCGGCTACGTACACAGCGCTGTGGTGAGCCGCTGGGGCTGGTTGTAGTGCACCATGGCCACACACAGCGTGTTCAGGGCCACCACGCACAGCACCACCCAGTAGAAGCTCTGTGCCTTCACCATGCGCCGCACAAAGAACCGGAACATCTTCTCCTTCCTGCGGAAGTAGGACGAGCCCTCCGTCTTCCCACTCTTGAGGCTGGCACGGGCGAAGGGGGACCCTGGGGAAAGGGGGCTCGCTGAGGACATGTGGGGACCAGTGGCCCCAGGACACACTCTCTTCCACCAGATGCGCTCTCGCCCCCCCGCCCCTTAAAACCACCGTCAAGACGCAGCCTTACACACCTGCAGTGGGCCCTAGCCCTGCCCCCATTCCACAGAAGACAGATGAGCATCTCCATGGTTGCTGCGCTCTGGACAGAAGACCTGGTCCCAGAACCCTGGTCACTTTCCAGGAGCACAGCCCCCATGTTCCCAGGCCATCCCAGTTCCTCCCCGTGCCCTGGGGTATCCTGCCGCATCTGACCCTCCCCCCCTCTTTAACTTGGTCAGCAGCAATGGGCCTATGGGTTGGAGTAGTGTTACTGGAACAGATCTTCATTCACACCTGTTCCAGGTGTGGTCCTGGTCCAGCCGCAGGGGGAGTATGGCTGACAGCAAACACACGCTCCCTGGAGAGCTGGCCACTGACACTTCTCCTTCCTCCACCCCACCCTAAGGCCCTTCACGTCTGCCCATACCCTCTGCTCTGCTCTGCCCTAAGCGTGGCATGCTCCTGTGGCTGGCCTCTTCCCCACGGCTAGCTCCTTCTCAGCGTCAGGTCTGGTCACCTCCACAAAGGGCCCTTCTCTGGGTACTCCATCTACAAGAGGGTTCTCATGTCCCCAACAATAACCACGAACTCAGACCACCTGCCACCACAGTGGCTTGTGGGCCTATTTCTGCACTGAGCCCAGACCCGACGGCAAGCTCTGTGAGGACGGGGACCACACACCCTTTCCCCACTAAAGCCCTTCTGGTGCTAGGAGGTTCGGCGTGTGCGTGGGGCAGGGTCTGGCTGTGTCTGAGCAGCACACCCGTACCTGCATCAGGGTTTCTCCAGCTTCTGCAATAAGGACTGGGTGTGTGCATGCCTCTCAGTGTTCAGTCGGCTCTGAACACCTGGGCTTGGGCAGCGGGTCCAAGGGTGAGGGTGTGGCGTGTGTGAGAGCATTACGTGACGTCAATGTGAGCGTATGTGCGAGCACGCCTGGACTGTTGGTGGCATGCTAAGAGCATTATTTTGGGCTAGCATTTTTTTGGGACTCACTGATATGAAAACAGGCCCGAGGCCTTCGAAAAGACTTGTCTACAGCTGAGCAGCCGCATCAGGCAGTGACACTGTCACTCTGACATGGGAGGAGGGTCAGAGCACAGAGCCCATCAGCCAGGCCTCGCAGGCACTTCACAGACCCTAATGGCAGCTTCCAGGCACTCCAGATGCCACACCCATCCACGCCCAAGGAGGACGCTGTTCCACCACAGCCCTGCTCCTGGCTCAGCCGGACACAGCTTCCCAGTCCATGTCCAGACATGGCCACTGCCAATCTGCCAGAGCTGGCTCACTCAAGGAGACCTCCCAGCCAGGCTTGCTGAGAGCTGCACAGCACCGAGACCACTGCCGGACACACCAGCTCCCTCCTTTGAGGCAGTGGAAGGGCACAGAGGGCAGCCGGCAGGCAGTGCAGACAAGAGAGACCCACACAGGCAGAGCCATGCACAGACCCGCCCGGTGAACCCACACTGAGGACCCCACCACTTCCTCGGTCATTCAGAGACACACAAGCACACTGTACAGCACATACTCGCCACACAGCACACACCCAGACCACGACCACGCTCAGAGACCAACCACACACACGCTCTTCCCTACAGGACACATCTAGGAACACACAGCCGCTCTGGGAAGGGGGGAGAAGAGAACATCTGACTCACAGGCACCGCTGTGCCCACACGTGAACTGCAGGTGCTGCTCCGAGGGACTCCATGGCCGGCCCAGTGAGAACCAGTTGGCTCTGCCTGAGAAAGCCCCATGGGAGCTCTGCCCCCACCCCTGCCTGGCTTCCCACACTAGCCTGTCCCCACAGCAGACACCACACACACCTGCACTCGGCAAAGGCACAGCCGCACAGGGGCATCTGAGGCCACGTTTGCACAAAGCCACATGCCCCCATGTGGCCCTTGAAGCCCGTGGCTCTGTGCTCCAGCACCTAGTCCAAGAGACCCCAGTGACCGTGCCCCATTTCCTGTCTCCACCCGGAAACCAGGCCTCCAGCGTGTGATGGTCCTACTCGACACGTGCGCCTGCGATGGCTGCCCAAGTGCCCAACACCTGCGCTGCACGCTCTCCAACCCACACGTCCAGCTCACATGTTCCAAACCTAACGCTAGACAGTAGTCCACAAATGCACTGTCCGCTGTACTATCTGGGGCCGCTTCTCTGTCCTATGGAGCCATCCTTGATGTCTTTCTCTCTCTCACACCCACGTCCAGTGGGTCAGCCAACCCCGTGGGCTGGTCTTCCAAATATATCTAGAACCCAACCACTTAACGTCCCCTTGGCTGCTGCCTCCACATCCACGCCATCTGTGGCATCCAGCAGCGGCCTGCACATGGTCCCTGCTCTGTCCCCCACTTATCTCTGCAGCCGGTACCTACAAACCCGAGTGGCTGCCACAGTCCTTCCAGGGCCCTCACCCCAGCCCCCAGCCCACTCACTCCACTCCAGCCACACTGGCCTCCCAACCTCCTTTCACTGCGGCCCAGAATATTCTGTCCCGTGTCCCTGGGCAACCTCCTCACTTCCTTAGCCCTTCATGCAAAGATGACCTCCCTAGCGGTCCACATCCATTCATTTAGCATTCCAGCGCCCAGGCCCTCAGGCCCTCCTGCTGTGTGTCTGTCTCTTGCACACCTGCACCGACACCTGTCTATTCCACTTATCTTGCTGGCTGTCTGATGCCCCTGGGAACGGAAGCTGCACCAGAGAGGCTCTGCTTCGTTCATGCCAAGGCCCAGGCCTCCCACCTCCCACACCCGATGGGCACTCAGCAGTGAACAAGGAAACGATGAGCACAGGAGACTTTGAAAACTACAAGAGGAAACTACACGCAGCTCTGTAGAAATGAGCTTGAAAAGCCAAGTAAACAGCCAATTTCCTAACAAAGTACAATTGATAACTTCTGTATTTCTAAGTAGATGGACTCACAATCTTAGCTCACCTTTAAAAAACACGTCATTTAGGTGTTATTTTAATTACTTCAAGCCATAGGAAAAGGACTTTTTAAGACTCTCCAGTCCATTTTACAAAACCAGAATAAAGACCAGGTAAAACAGGAGTGGGTGCATCTGTGGGTACATGTGGGCATGCGTGTGCTACCTGAGAAACAAGGGAGGATAAGCTGTAAGCTATTAACGTGGGTTTACTGGGCCTGGGTGGGGACTAAAACAGGGAAAGAATAAGTCAATAAATCAACATACACACCAGCAAACAGACAGTTCTCATCAAACTTACTTTCTCATAAAAGGTACAATAAATGGGAAACAGTTGCTCTGACTCGGTCCACTCACAGGCTGCTGAGGAGCGTGGCGGTCCACACAGAGAAAAGCTGTCACTGTTGAGTGTCCCTGTCCCTCGCGGCTGAAGGGGGAGGCCCAGGCCCAGCATGACAGGCCTGGTGGTGGGGAGGGCGAGGCACCCCTGCACCAGACTGAGAGGAACTAAAACACCTCTGAGAAGCTGCCCGGACTTTTCCTTTCTCCATTTGAGAAACAGATGGGACAGAGGCCCCAGGTTCCAGGGACATGGCAAACGGGCTTAGAGGGAGACGAACAGAAATTTTTGGACCCTATGGTTACTGCCACATGTGGCCCTGGCCTTGGGATGTGCCCAAGGGCTCCATGTCCATGGGGATGGCAGAGCCCAGAGCGGCCAGCAGCCAGCGAGATGAGCTGAAAAGAGTGCAGACAGCTAGGCAGCCTGGGTGACAGGCAGGAAGCTGGGTCACAGGCCCGACAACACTCACCCACGGCACAGAGGTCTGCAAACCGGTCCTCTCCCTCCTCAGCATGGATCAGGTCATTTCGGCTCTTCTTGGTGGCTGCCCTCTTCAACACTGCTTTAAACAAAGGGTGGAGAGCAGGGACCGCCTGAGCCAGAGCCCGGCTGGCCCGCCTCAGGGCAGGGGTCTTTCAGCAGAGGATCTGGCATCCTCCGGGGAACTGGGGCCTTTCTCTCATCTCCTGCCATGAAGCTGAAACTGAAGCTGAAGCTGAAGGGAAATGTAATTACTCCTGGTCCTCGGAGCGAAGGGGCCAGGAGCTGGAAGGGTGGCTCCCACTGTTCCTCTTCTCAACGGTGACATCAGTGGGGAAGGCCGTGCCCCTAGCATGCCTAGAAAATGTCGGGTGGAGCAAGGCCAGGCCTGCCACTGCCCCAGAGCCCACACACCAGGCCAGGTGAGGTGAGAAAGGTCAGGCTAGGCCTGCAGATCTGCTCACAGCCCTGGATATGGCCCCAGGTGACACCACGCAGGTGTGGCCAGGCTGTCTGGCCCCTTCCTGAGCAGGAGTGTGAAGATGGTGGCCATCCTGCCACTGGGGCTGTAGCCCCTGCCCCCAGGCTGTGCTACGTGTCTTTCCATGGCTGTCTGGGAGCAGCGTTGCCCTGAGCTGGGGACAGATGCACTTGGTCTAACCTGCAGGGTTAAAGTTCCTAGCAGCTGTTTCTCCCACAGAATGTTCTATGGTGATGGGAATGGTTCAATCTCTCTGACCAATGCAGTGGCACCAACCCCGACTGGCTCCTGGGCACATGAAATGTGGTGACTGTGACCAAGGAACTGTACTTCCACCTTTACTTCACTGTGAGGCACTGACGAGTGAGCTTACAGTCACAGGTGAGCTGCCTCGCTGGACCGCATTACTCTTGGGGCCATGCTGAGAGCACAGGCTCTTGTGACACCCAGCTGAGACCACACGGGTAGCTGTGCTGTGTGAGTCCACTGCCAGCTAGGGCCACTCTTGTCCATGGCACAGCTCGCCAGGGGCATGAGCTGACCACTGCAGGGGCTCTCTCCAGAAAGGCTCTGCCAGGCCTTTGCACGTGTGACGCTGTGCAGGACCCTGGCCTAGCAGACAGCATCCTGCCCCAACATGCAAGCGTGCACACGTGTCGCTGCCCATGGGGCACCAAGCTCGCTCGCTGGGTAGGAGGTGCTAACAGCAGTGACCTACCATCCAGGGGGGACTTCTCCTCGGCATTCTTGTCCTCCTCAGCCAGCATGACTTCCTCTGCGAGTGAGACAAGCCTCAGGTCGGAGCCTGCCTGTCCCTGCCCCGACGCAGGCCCGCCTCTGTCGACAAGACCCTGACTTCCCAGAAACCCATAAGGCCCAGGCTGAGCTTTCTCCACCAGAACGACACCCCATGTCCCAGAGCCCCATGAGGAGGGCCAGGCTTGTCCCCACTCACACATCACCTCCCCTGAGCACAGTCATCCACCAGGTGAGTTCACCCCCAAGGAGGCACTTGTGCAACCTCCCCAGGTGCCAGCAGGTGCCCCACGTAGAGGAAGGAGCGCTGGCCTACGGCCGGGCAAGGGAGTCAGGGGCCCCACGTTTGACAGGGAGCAGAGTCGGGGTGAGAAGGGGCTCAGGTTAAAGGCAGAACACTGGGTCTGACCGGCAGAAATGAGGTCTAGGCTGGGCCGTGCCATGATCCTCAATGAACAAGGCAAGTGTCCCCAGAGCCACAGGGCCACCTGGTGCTGGGACTCGAGTGAGCTGGAGAGAAAGGCTGCTTCCCTGCAAAGCCCTTTCAGAAATCTCGGCTCTCTGCCACTAGGCTGGCCTCGTGTCCCATGACCAGGGGACCAGGGCTGATAGCCAGTAGGACTTGGGGACAGGGAACCCACAGGACGGTCAGGAGCGTGGCAGCAGCCAGCTCTCACCGGCCTTGAAGATCCACTCCAGGTACCCGTTGAGCTCCCTTTCGATCTGCTGCTGCCGCCGCAGCTTCAGGAAGGCCCGGCGGTTCTCCACCCGCTCACGCTCCTTGGCGAACTCTCTGTGATGCAGGAGCCAACAGTGCACAGATCAGGTGAGTGTGAGCACACTTGTGAGCCCACAAGTGTGCAGCCCCACAGGCAGGGGGCCAGGAAGGGACTGGGACAGGAGATGGGGGCCAAGGGCCGCCCTTCCAGGTAACCTACCACTCTGGTCTCTAACCTGAGCATGCAGAGGGCACAGCAGAACCCCTCCTGCTTAGATGCTTACACTCACAGGGACAGTACCTCAGTCCCCACAGAAGGGGCTCTAGAGAGCAGGGACTAGCCCACATCTCCCTGCCTAGAACTGGCCTGCCACCACCCTCCATGTGCCAGGCCCTGCTGCCTGTCATCCTATGACAGCTTCTGGATAAGAATTCCCCAGAAGAGAACTTTCGCTGCTTCCTCTGCTGGTTCAGTCCCAATGCCATTGCTAGAGGAGGAACAACACTGGGAACAGGAGAGAAGTTGCTGGATCACATGCACAGGTGCACACACGCTCATATACGCACACATGCGTGCGCACACACATGCACGAGCGCACACACGCATCCAGCCTGGCCAAGCTTTCTCAGTTCGGGGTTGGGGCAGGATCCAGGCCCCCAAAGTGTGGGCAGGCACCCCCACAGCAGAACAGCATGCTGTCCTCAGCCGAGAGGCTGTTTCTCTTCCAGGAAAAGCAGCTCTGGGCTTGCTGGAGTCTGGCAGGCCTGACTCCTGGAACACAGCCACAGAGAGGGAGAACTTGGCTCTGACCAGGACTGACCTCTAGCCTGGGGCCAGCGTCCACCAGGGCCTGAGCTGAGCTGTGCATCCCAGCAGTGAGAGGAAAGAGTTCCTGCCTGACCTCCTCCCCAGGTCCTGAATCTATAGAACACAGGGTCCCAAGGGCAGGAGGACCTGGGGGCAGGGACAGGGCCATGACAATACTGCAGACTCAGTCCACCAGCTGCCAGCAGGAACCTGCTGTGCCACCCAGGCTCTGCCCTTCTCCAGCTACAGTTCTCAGTGGAGGAATCACCAACTCTGCTTCTCCAGGGTGCAGGGAGTGTGAGAGCCCAGGCAGGAGGAAGAACAGGCTGAATCCCTAGAGCAGCTCCCTCCCACCCAGACATGGCAGCGCTGCAGCTGCCTATGGGTGAGCCCCCACCCCCACCCAATCTAGGCTGTCTGGCAGCATCTAACCACTGCTGCCTTGGAATGTGCCCAGTGAGGGACCTACATGCAGTGTGCTGGACGCTGGCTTTAGGGACCCCACCATCAAACTGGAAGAGAACCCTGGGGTCCCTTGGCTAGACCTGCCATCTGAGGGAGGGCTCAGCTGAGATGATTAGAAAAATCATCCCCAGAGGCCAGGATGCTCCCAGGGGGCATGAAGGCTAGGAAGATACAATGTTGGTGGCCCCACTCCCCACGGCTCTGCTCACCCCAGTCCCTGCTGCACATCCTCCAGAGGGAGCTGCTCAAAGCCATGACCACCTCCCCACTGTGTACTGTCCTCAGACCAGGGCCCACACTCCTCACAAGCCTGGCTGCCAGCCAGCCCCAACCCTCTCCCCACCACACACTGGCTCAGCTCTTAGCATCCGGGGATCTGAGCACATGCACCACACCCTGTGTACCTCTGGGCCTCTACTCAGGCTCTTCTCCACCTGGTGGGTCTCCTCCCTCCTTCACCAAGCTCATCCCTGGTACCCTCTGTGTCTCAGCTGAGATGTCCCTCCCCTAGGTGTGCACTTCCCCAGACCAGGATTTCTACACCCATCCCCAGCGCTTTGGGCCTACCCGGTACCTGTGCAGGTGCTTGCGAACATGCTAGTGACAAGCACAACCCTCACAGGAGAGGACAGAGACTAGGGACACGTTTCAGAGCCAGAGCACACAGCCTCAGGCCTCCACTGTCCTCTCTGTGGCTATTCCTTTCTAGGACAGGATGACAGCTGCCCCCTGGGTCCACCAGGCTCTCCTCCCAGCCCACCCCAGGAGCCCTGGGCCTCAGCAGGAATCCTCATGGTGGGAGGAAGGGAGACCTTCTCCTCCAACCTTACAGGGGGTCTGATGCCAAGGTGGGGGCAGGGAGGCAGGCCAGGCCCGGCATCCTCTACCTTCTTCCCAGCACGGCATCCTCAGCCTCGGTCCACATGGGACAAGATGGCACTGTGTGCTCGCAGGTGTGCCCCTACTTACTCCCAACATGGGGTAAGGAAGCACCTTTTCCAAGCAGGGACTCCAGTCTTATGCCCTCACTGGCCTTTCCTGGAGCTCAGGGGAGAGGTGACAGGGCTCAGGACTGGGCCAGAGCGCCTAGTAGTCACCACAACCGAGACTCAGGGCACTTCATTTATTCTCTGGTCACCACCATTGCAAAACCCACCATGGACCCAGATGAGAGGCAGCAGCAGCCCCTCCCCCACAGTCAGAGGCCAGGGTGAAGGCCAGGGAAGGGACGGACAGGGAGAGGTCAGGACGGCAGCACAGAGAGAAGCTGGTCAGTGCTCAGGACACTGGGAGTGCCTGCACGGAGGGCAGCCCTGTGGCCAGGCTGGGCCCCACCTCCCCCAGGTGCCTGTCTGACTTCATCGCCTGAGCACAGAGGAGCACCCCCCAGCCCTCATGCCTCTTACCCCGAGAGCACGCCCAGTACCAGGTTGAGCATGAAGAAGGAGCCGATGATGATGAGAGGGATGAAATACAGCCAGTTCCAGGTGTTGCCAGCAGCATCATTTGTCTGGAAGCGAAAGGAGATGAGGAAGGACAGGGGGAAGGACACGGTTCTTGCCATGGAGGTGCCCCAGCCCCTTCTCACACACTTGGCGGGTTCTAGGCAGGGAGAATCCATGCAAGGGGAAAAGGGTGGTCCAGGCGGGACCTGTGGGCAGACCTGCCTGCCCTTACCCAACAAGGCTCTCTCTGGGGCTGGGGCTCCCAAAGAACAAGGGCCCTCAGCTCTCTCGGCCAGGGCCCCGCAACTCTGCAAAGCCAAGGAGCTGTCTCAGAGGGCAGAGGCTGCCCAAGGCACCCGAGGGCTACATGCCTGGCCTCTGCCTGGACACCCCCTTCCCAGGCTGCTCTTTTGTGCAGCCCATGAGAGCCAATGTCCATGTCTGACCTTCTGTCTCCAGCAACTTCCACAGTTCAGAGGAAGGGAGCCAGGACACATGTCCCCCAGATCAACAGCAAGCCCACAAGTTCCCAGAGAATGTTCTGTCCATATGCCTGGTCCAAGATGAAGCCCACACTCAGCGTGGTCTAAACAACCGAATGCCAAGACAGGTATCTCCCAGGCCATCGGTGTTTACAGCACAGCCCGCAGAAAGGTGAATCCAGTTAACTTCCGATGGCTGTTTTGTGTGTCCTGGTCCCAGCTGACTTGGCTTACAGGTGGAGAACCTTTCCCTCCACTGGGCACAGTGCTGGGCATGAACCAACAGTGTGGGAATGCTGGGAGCAGGTGATTACCTGGCCCTGTGATCCCCTCTCCAGAGGCAGCTCTCATCAAGGGTCAGGGTCCCAGGCAGGACAGAGGTAGGACAGCCCTGGAGGACTCCTACCCTCCGGCATCTGCAGCCTGGGCAGCACTTTCAGACTCTACCCCCTGAAGGTCCTGGGGTCCCTGCACTGACTGCAAATGTGTGGCTTCTGATTCCTGGACACTGGCCCAGAATACACATTTGGACTCCTAACTGTAAGTGTCATCAACATTTCCTGACCACACCTCTGCCACACCCAGGTACTACTCCACCCGTGGGCTACCACGACCACCACAGCCACCAACTTCCCTGAAGAACACCCTCAGAGCCGGCTCCTTCCTGGGAAGCAGGAGAAATGCTGCTGCAGTCCTGCCCTCTCACCTATTCAGACTTGGCTGCTGCAACCTCCCCTCTCTAATGGATGGTTCCCGGCAGCAGCCAAGCCACTCTCCTCTCCTCTTAAAAACCAAAGCAAAACAAACAGGACTTGTACTTCTGGGAAGACGGAGTAGACATACTCTTCCTTATTTCTCCCAATGAGTACACTTAATAGCCACGACATCAGATAGAGAGCAAATATGAGAAGACCCTGAAATGGTGGAGAAAGAAAAGAAAGCAGACCAGCAGGGGCCTCTGCACCCACAGTGAGTTTCCTGGGTTTTTATTCGTCTGTCTGTTGCCTCATATATCCTAGACCTGTCGCTGAAGTAGCCTACAACCTGGAAATGCCAATAGGCACAGAAGAAAAACTCAGCAACAAAAGCCAGATCTCTCTCTAACCAAAGGGCAAGAGGCAGCCTAGCAAGACAGAAAGCTCAGACAATTAACTGCACCACTCCAGCCAAACACAACAGGAAAAACTGTGGTGTCACCTCCATCCTTGCCAGCAAAGACCCAGGAGGGAGCCTAGACTTCCACCTGCCCAGACTGTAATGAGGCCACCAACCCATCCACCCCCCATACCAGAGAACAATGAGCAGAGAATAGGGACATTCCTCCTTGACAAGCAGATAACAAGGCCTCTCCTATCCCATCCCACCTCTGTGGGAGCCTGGGTTCCACTCCCACGTGGCAGTAATGAGACACACCACCCCTACCCTACTGAGGTGCTGTCAGGAGGGCCTAATGGAGAGTCAGGGCTTTCACCATCATGCAGCAGTAACAAGGTGACACACCCATCCACACTGTAGAGACCATGTGTACAGCAGGGAAGCTCACCTAACCCTCTCAACCAGAGAAGCATCCCAGAGGCATATTGAGCCAGAACTACCACCTCCACTCAGTAAAACAGGATGCCTAAAGGGAAGTTTTAACTGAATGGAAAGTCATTGAACTAAATGAAAATGAAAATACAATACATCAAATTTGAAGGACACAGCTAAAGCAGTGCCAAGAAATAAACTTACAGCATTAAGTACATACATGACAAAAGAGGAAAAGTCTCAAATCAATAATCTAAGCTCATATCTCAAGCAGGTAGGAAAAGAACAAAACACCAGCACAAACCCAAATCAAGCAGAAGAAAGTAAATAATAAATACAAAGGCAGAAATCAACAAAATTGAAAACAAAAACAATACAAAACCTGGCCAGCCGTGGGTCAGCAGTTGAGCGTCGACCTAGGACCTAGGAGATCACAGTTCGATTCCCGGTCAGGGCACATGCCCCGGTTGCAAGCTCCATCCCCAGTGGGGGGCGTGCAGGAGGCAGCCGATCAATGACTCTCTCATCATTGATGTTTCTCTCTGTCTCCCTCTCCCTTCCTCTCTCTGAAATCAATAAAGATATATTTAAAATAGTAATACAGAAAATCGATTTTTTAAAAGTTAGCTTTTTGAAAAAATCAGTTAACTTGACATATCTCTAGCAACACTGACCAAGACAGAAAGAGAGAAAACACAAATTATCACTATCAACTGAAATGGGCTGCGGATGCAAGGTAAGGGAACACTACAAACAATGCCACCGGCATTGGACAATGTTTCTCAAAAACCACAAGTTTTCCATCTCTCTCTCCCTCTCCCTTCCTCTCTCTGAAATCAATAAAAACATATATTTTTTAAAAACCTATTAAAAAAACACAAACTGCCACAACTTGCCCAATATAAAACAGGTAAATTTAATAGTCCCATAATTATTAAGAAAAGCAAAATTGTAATTCTAAAACTTTCCCCAAAAAAGGACACAGTGATCAATGGAATGGAAGTGACAATCTAGAAATAAACCATTATGCTTATGATCAATTGCTTTTTTTTTTTTTTTTTTTAGCAAGGGCGTCAAGACAACTCAGTAGGGAAAAGAATGATCTTTTTAACCCATGGCCCTGGGACAACAGGATTCCCATGTGCAAAAGAATGAAGCTGGACCCCTGCCTCACTCCATATATAAAAACTAACTCAAAATGAATCAAAGACCTCAATACAAAAGCAAAAACTAGAAAACTCCTGAAAGAAAACATAGGAGTAAATCTTCATGGCTTTGAATTAGGTAATGGATTCTTAGATAGGACACCAAAAGACAAGTGGTAAAGAGAAAAATGAAAAAATTGACTCTCATTAAAATAAAAGTCTTTTGCACTTCAAGTGACACCACTAAAAAAGTAAAAAGACAACCCACAGAATGTGAGGAAATATTCGCAAATTCCATATACCTGATAATGGTCTACACCCATAATATATAAACAAGTCTTACAAGCTAATAATAAAGTGACAAGTAACCCAATTTTTTATTGGACAAAGGATCTAAATACACATTTCTCCAAAGAAGATGGGTAAACGGTGTAATGAAGACATACAGGATGCTCGACATCCAAAGTCACTAGGGAGCTGCAAACCTCAAAGCCAAAAGGAAATACCCCTTCAGTGACAAAGAAGTACCTAGACCATGTAAAAACATAGAGTAGAACAATCCAAACAGACCACGGGCAAAAGACATGAAGAGAGCTATTTCACGGAAGAAGATGTACAGCTGGAAAAAGGCGTGAAAAGAGCGCCCCATCACGAGCTGTTAGGAATTAAACCACAACGCTATGTCCCTGCACACGTATTAGACAGTCAAGTCAAAACAGCGGCAGCACGGCCACTAAATTATTCCTACACTATTGGTAGATGTAGAATAGAACATGGCCCTCTGGGAAAGTTTTAGTTTCTTAAAAAACTGAACGTGCAACTGCGACAGAACCCTGAAATCCCGCTCCTGGGCATTACCCCAGGGGAACAAAGACTTAGGTTTGCCAGAAACCTGCACACAAATGTGTGGAGCTGTTATTCACAGTGGCCCAAACTGGAAACCACCCCGAGGCTCTCTCAGGTGAGTGTTAATGAAGCGCACTGCTCCACTCACACCCCGGGGACCACCTGGCCATCGAGAGGCTGGGTGAGTATCCAGAGAAGGATGTGGAATTAAACAGCCAGGACCAAAATTACAGACAGTATGGTTTTGTCTGCATGGCGTTCTTGAAATGGCAAAATTGGAGTCAGCCCCCAGGTCAGTGGCTGCCAGGGACCAAGCAAGGGACCAAGCAAGGGACCCTGCAGGGATGGAGCAGGGTCTTCCCTGGCTGTGAAGCTGCTAGTTCTGCAGGTTGTTACCATGAGAGGAAAGAAGACAAGGATGCGTGGAACCTGTTATTTCTCACCACTGTTACCTCAAAACACTTAATTTTTATTTATTTTATTTATTTTGTTTTTTATTTTTCAAATATATCTTTACTGATTTCCGAGAGAGGAAAGGAGAGGGAGAGAGAGAGAGAGAAATATCAATGATGAGAGACTCACTGATGGGCTGCCTCCTGCACGCCCCCCACTGGGGATGGAGCCTGCAACCCGGGCATGTGCCCTGACCGGGAATTGAACCCCAATTGCCTGGATCCTAGGTCGATGCTCAACTGCTGAGCCACGTCCGGCTGGGCAAAACACTTAATTTTCAGAAGTTCCCACATCTCCCCGCATTACCTCCTACCGCCCGGCTCCAGATCAGAGAAAATCCTTTGGAGCTGATGCTACCTGCCATCCTCAGCTCCATACCGCCTTCTGCCTTTAACCTGCACGTTCCAGGGATTTGTGCCCGCCCTGCCCTGGTCAAGTTTACCAGCATCTTCCTTGACCTCTCACGGCACCTGGACTGGCTTATCACATTCTTGACTCAGAGCCCACTCGGTGCTCGGATTTCCCCGACTCTCAGTGAGTGTTCACTACCCAAGTGATCTCATCCTCCCCCATAATTTTAAAACATCATTCATGACTTCAAACATAGCCCCCATCCGCCCTGCTGCCCCTCTCATCTACCCAACTGCACACTCAACATCCCCACTTGGACCTAACGGTCAACAAAAACTTCACAGGTCAAAAGAGGACTCTGGGCTCCACCTCCACTCTGTGCAGAAGGAAAACTGAACTAACACCCTGCTCCCAATGCTCCCCTCCCTCAGAGAAA